TATAGGCCAAGCCTTTCCTAGAAACCAAGTTTCTAGATGCCTCTCCTACACCATCTAAAAAAAAAAGATGTAGGGGGGAAGGAACTCCCCGGATACTATTCTCCCCGGAGGCTCAACACTTCGGATACATATTCCCGAAGGCTCCTACAAAGGCACAGGAAAATCTCTCAACAACAAGTCATCTGACTACATAGCCGAAGGCTTCACTACGTGAAGCGTTGGAGTGCAAGAATTCCCCCGGGGGACCAAGATGAAGGCTCACTAGCAAAACTTCACCTAAATTTGGCCAAGTCCGAAATTTAGCTGAATGAAAGTCAACTATGTTCCATGCCGAAGGATACACGAAGTCCTAAGGCAAATCAAACCTACATCAACCACGAGCCGGAGGGTTCACCACAATTGCTCCAGGGGACTTACAACAGCGAAGGCCTCATCAAACACCTACAACCGGAGGGTCAATAACATTTATGGCAACTTTGCTAATAGCCATCAACCGAAGGCTACTCACAAGATCTGTTGGAGACAAATCTCAGAATTTCACTAGGCCCATAATCTCGAACCCCTCGACAACTATATGCACCGGGGGCTCAGGCAGTTCCCACGCCCGAAGTTCACTACATCACCTATTGAAACTTTATGGAAATTTGACTAAGTCCACAATTGGGGACCCTTCGGGGGGAAACCGAGATGCCATCTGGAAACCAACAGGCTTACAGCCGATGGCCCCCCCAAGCAACTTGGCAATGGCCCAGAGCTACGCTGCTAGTCGAAGGCCCAACATTTCCGGGGGGATAAGATGCAATTTCACCTGGTGAAATTCCTAAGTCTAATTCATTTTATCCCTCGGTCCTATTGCTACAACCCGGGGGCAATTCCAATGGTTCATTACCGAAGACCTACGATGGAATTTAGGAAATTTTACTTAGGAATTACCGTCCACAATCACGAGCCTCCGGTGATTCTACTCTACATCCGAAGGGTTCTAATCAAGTTTTACTTGGAAAATGTTCTAAGTCCACAAACAACGCCCCCCCCCCCCCCCCCCCCGGTGATACTGCACTATGACCGGGGGCTAGAAAGGAGTTACACAGAAAAATTTTCTAAGTCCGCAAACTTATGGCTTTCGGGCAACCAGGCGAGAGAAAGGAAAACATACATTCATTCATACATAAACATAAAGGAGGCGAAGGCATACGTATCAAAAAACCCAAAGGCACATCATCATACAAAATTCAACTACATGAGGAGTTTGTTGTTTACAAGTGGCCAAAGCCGGGGCCTACTGATATATTACATTATTACGCTTATGAGAAATATCTAAATGTGGGTCTCCCCGACGGGATCTTCCTTCGGTTTCGAGGCCGCATCATCCTCAGCCTCCTCATCATCCGAATCGCATCGGGCCAGCTCCGAGTCCTCGAGCAGCTCCCTTTCTTCACCTTCGGGCAAGGGGATCCTCACATCCGGCAGGAGCGGGGGGAGACCGTAGGCTTCGGGCTGGAACTCCTTCGGGTCCACACCATGGTGCCGGGCCAACTTACGGTAGATCAAGGCTTGGGTGAAGTATTGAGCTCCCTCGTAAAAACTCTTCCCCTTCAGGGCCAACCACATTGCCCCGGGGCCCTTCACCCAGCCATCGGCAGAAGCCTCCACCACCGAGGCTACCCACTGCTTCCGCTCTTCGGCCTTCCAGCCATCAGCAATGAAAGCCGCCACCGCCTCTTCCTTGGCATTGGAGATGGCTACCACCTTTTGGCCCTCAGCATCCTCGGCTACTTTCTTGGCGGCCTCAGCCGCAGCCTTCTCAGCTTCAGCTTTCCCCGCGGCACGAGCTTCCTGCCTTGCCGCCTCCAGCCTCTGCTCAGCCTACCGGAGCGCCTCTTCCAATCTAGCGAGCTGCCTGATGGCCTCAGTATTGTTAGCAACGAGCTTCCTCGTCACCTCGTCAGACTTCTCCTTCTCAAGGCGGTGCTGTTCCGCCCTACGGACAAGTTCCCCGAAGGCCAAGCTAGCCTGCAAGCAAACAAGGGTACACCCGGGATCAGGTTATGCAAAGGAAAAAGAACACGATAACAAAAGGTTCCGAGGGTCGAAATACTTACAGTGGCCGAGGCCTGAAGAGCCTTGAGCTCGAGGGCTTCATCCCCGAACCGGCTGAGGGTGGATCGATCCACCGGGGGAGTAGCACCCCTCAAGAACTCCCTCGGGTCGAGGGTGCCATGCATGATGGCTGTCCCCTTCTTGATGGGGAAGTGTACGGTTTCAAGGGGCCAGGCCCCCTCGACGAGATCCTCCAGGGGGGCGGATGCCGAAGGATGACCGGAGGGAGGGTCGTCAATAACCACCACGGGAGTATTCTCCTGCCCAGCATCCCCCCTCACTTTCTTCTTCTCCGGGAGCTTCACGCCTTTCCCGGCGTTCTTCCTTTTGAGCTCTCCAAGTTGGGAGCTCCCGGCCCCAGAACCGGCATCACCGCCAGGGGCAGATTTCTTCGAGGGGCCCTCCCCCTCCGGCGTCTTGGCAGCCTCTTCCTTCTTGGGGAAGGAGTCGACGGGCTTCTGCGTCGAAGACCCCTCCTTCTTCCTCCTCTCCTCCCTCGCCATTTGCTTGGACAGCTTAGCGAATGCCTTCGGGTCCATTATGCCACCTGCAGAGGGCAGAAAAAAAAAGAGGTTAGAAAAAACAAGTCAAAGGCAGAAGTAGCAAAGTATGCCAAAGAAATGAAGAACTGAAGAAGAACTGACCTTAGAAATGGGGTTTGATCGAAGCAAAGACTTTCTCTCTCTAGAAATTTTGGCAGAGCTTCGCTATCACATAAAAACGCACAAGGGAACTGAGCTCCGCCTTGGGGTATATATAGGCTTTCAGCCTCGAGAACTGGGCCTCGATTTGAAAAGGCCATCATTACGGGCCGCCGGTTCAACCAATGGATGGCTCCCGCCCAACTTCAACCAACGACAGCCGGCCACGTCAACCCCTCTTCCAACGGCTATATCACAACGGCTACATTTCGGAAACGATGGAGTGCCCTCGAATAACAGCCTCCGACTATCGCCCTCCGCAGCCCTCAGACAACGGATTCCACCAAACGCCTTCGAGCTTGCGGCATCGTAAGCCCCCGGCTTGTCAATATTGTCACCCCTCGGGTTTGCATCAACACATCATAACTCCTTCAACCCGAACTTGCCTTCGGCCTAAAGGAGTGAGGGACTGGGATACACCCCTCGGGAATCACGCATAAAATAAACAAAAATTCCCAAATGCAAAAAAATTCACAAGCGACGCATAACGCCCCCGGGCAAACATCAAAGGGGAACCCCTCGGATACGTGCACCATCACACCCTTCGGCGGAGGCAGAATGTCACAGGCTTTCCCCAAGTCACTTGCGGAAATGAAGCAGCCCTCACCACAACACATACAGGCAATACGTCTACTTTCCTCAGAAAACCCTCGACATGTGAGGGACTGAGGGAAGCCTTCGGCAATCAGCAGAAGGCGAATTCTCAAGCAAAGGCGCCCAACCAAATGATGAAGCCTCCAGAAGAATCAACACATCTACTCCTTTTCCCTCAAGTACCTTTCGGCAAAAAGAGTGAGGGACTCCTGATGGAGTATATGGCCCAGGAACCCCCGGCCCATAGACTCCTACTTCCCCTACACAAGTCCATTGAGCCCAGAGAACAACTCAGGCCCAAATGCAACGGCCCAAGCCTCAAAATAGCTCAGAATACACACTGGGGTGCCTTCGGCCTCCTTGGCCGAAGGCTCCAGAACTCACAGGATAGCCTTTTTGGCATAAGAAGCTGCTGGGAGAAAACGGCGAAAAACATGAGCCTTCGGCATTACCAAGCCCTCGGCATCAGAGAAGCCTTCGGCTGAACCAAGCCTTCGGCCACACAAGGCCTTCGGCTGCACAGGGGTCCTTGGTCACATGGAACCCTCGGCTACACAAGGAGCCTTCGGCCAAACATGCTCAATCGTCGAAGATTCCTTTTGGAGACAGCCAACCACCGCATTTAATGCCACGTCACATCCGCCAACCGCATTCAATGCGGTGAACGTACCACTGCCGGTGCCACCCGGCTGATGTGACCCCTCGGCCGTTGGATTACTGACACGTGTACTCTCATCGCATTTATTGCTGCTATAAATAGCAGCCCATTTCTCCTTGTAAACGATCCCAGATCTCACATCTCTTACACGCTGAGTTCATTTAATAAATCGACTCTCTCTCCTCCTATTTTGCTCTGACTTCTCTCTATTTATTCACGCAATAACCCCTCAGATAAGATACCCCCAGGTAGACTGTCCATCAAAGTCCTACATGGATTAATAGGTGGTTAGTGGATAATTCTTCAAGTTCAAGAGATACCAGACTACAACGAAGAACAAGTCTAGAGGATGAAGGAATAGGGGAACAAGATCGGCGTGAGTTCTCAGCACATACAAGCAACAGTGTGACCAAGAAGGGTGAAATAGGCGGGACCGAGGAGGTTCCAGGGAATCCGAATCGTAGAAAGATTTGGGAAGAACAATCAAAAGAGGTCTCGGCTCGCAAGAGCATGTCACTAGAACAAATAAAAAAAATGGGAAGACAGCGGGTCAGGACTTCTAGACCCGCCGATGGTGCAATTTGTAATCCTGCTCAAGAGGATTATTTATAATTTTTTTTTTTTTGCGTTTTTACATTTTAATTTCCACGCTAAAACTTTTGTTTTTATTTTATGTTATGTTGTAAGACTCTGGCATTAGGATTGAGTAATGAGAGATCTGCTGTAATCGTCGTTGGCTCAATTTGATCGGCACGGAGATTAATAAAATAAAAATTGTGCGGTTGAGGTTTGTGCAAAGTAGAGAGAATTAACTGAAATAACAAATTTTTTACTTAGAAAAGAAAAATTGCAAAATTAATGAGACATTCAACAAAAGAAAGTTGGCAAAGTTATAGGGACTGGAGGGACTATTTAAACCATATCATTGGCAATTTGGCATCACACAGGTAATACTCCGTATAAATCACGTGTTTGGCTTGTGAGTTGTGACTTCATCGTCGAGTTCAACCACCAATCCTACGGTATCAATCATCGTTACACACTTACACACAGCAAAGGAGAAAAGAAGACCAATCCCCAGCACCAGAGCTAACAAGAGATCGACTGTCAATCTCAGATCCCAATCCGTCCAAAAGATCTGAACAATGTCTACCTTCAGCGGCGATGAAACTGCTCCATTCTTCGGTTTCCTCGGCGCCGCTGCCGCTTTGGTCTTCTCCTGTACGCGTCTTTCTATCGTTAACCATATTTCTACGCGAATATGAATATTTCAATTCTGCTTCGATACGCATCTAATATGGATCTGGATCGATCGATTAATTCATTGTCTGGTATTGCAGGTATGGGGGCAGCTTACGGCACAGCGAAGAGTGGAGTAGGAGTGGCGTCGATGGGTGTGATGAGGCCGGAGCTGGTGATGAAATCAATCGTCCCGGTTGTTATGGCTGGTGTGCTTGGTATTTATGGCTTGATCATTGCTGTCATCATCAGTACCGGAATTAACCCTAAAACCAAATCCTATTACCTGTTCGATGGGTACGCTCACCTGTCTTCCGGTCTGTCTTGTGGCCTTGCTGGCCTATCTGCTGGAATGGCCATTGGAATTGTTGGAGATGCCGGTGTCAGGTTATTGTTTAATACATTCATCACCCATGCTGTCCTTTTTACTGCTCTCATTACAACTGCATATAAAACTCTGAGACATAATTGATGCAATTATTTCAATCTAGAATGTAACTTTCATAGTAATAGTCTTTATTTTGGATGGATTAACTTTGTTTGAAGAAATTGCAGATTTGAACATTTGGTGCAAGAGTGCTTCTATTGCAGAGCTAAAAAGTTGAATGTCAAAGACTAAGGGATACTTAAGAACATAATGATGAAAAAGAGTGAAAATTCGTATTATCAACCTGCTGATCTTATCTAATATACATAAATATAGCAACTCTATAACTTTATTGGTGGTAATCACTATCATATCTAACTTCTGTGTATGACTCTTTTTAGCATGTTTTTTTCAATTACATGAAAAATTAATTTCATTAGATCAAGTTTGAATCTTTTATTAGGATAAGAGCCATAAGACTATACGGGTGCGTGCAAAAGAGGTTGTTTTAGGGTCACTTGCCTGTAAAAGGGAGCAAATGTTTGGGTTTCCGGGTATAGTTGGACTCAGGAAGGTGTGGTCGGTTCTAGTATCTGGTCATTGGATTATATGCATGTACTTTGTGAATATTTAGTGCTTACTAGGTCAAACCAAGCTTTACATACTGAAGGTTTATTAACGGCTCTATTTGCGCATGTTTTATCTTGCTTTTACTTTCATTATCTATTTTTCTTCCATTACTTGGGGCTTCATGTCATACTGTTGTCTGGCTAAGTTTACCCTGTGAGTTTCTACTATATTAAGTAGTACATTATGTTGGAAGTTCTCGCAAAGCAATATGAAAACATTTGTAGAAGAAATTTAAGTTGCTTCTTGCAATCTTAATGCATAAAACCTCAAGCTTGCCCTTCCTTCTGATTTCTAGCTTGTTATTTCCCTTAGCTTGATAGTTTCGTCTCACCTTTACTTAGCACTCTTATTAAGAAAGTAAAACTATGTGATCTAGATTTTTATCTAGAAAAGCTGAAAACAATATTAACAACACAATTCGTTTCTTAAAATGTTATAGAATGAAATGTTTAGAACACCCCCAAAAAGGCAAACCCGTGAATAATTTTCTAGGAAGAATAGAGTGTACACTAAATGTCTCTTGTAAGATGTTTATTTGATTTTAGATTTTTATTATGCAAGTGTGAGGCAGACCTCACATTTCTAGGATCCCTTTAAGATGATTTAGCTCCAATTAATATTAAATTATAGATACTCATAACAATTTTTAATTTGCAGGGCTAATGCACAACAGCCTAAGCTATTTGTTGGGATGATCCTTATTCTTATTTTTGCTGAAGCTTTGGCACTTTATGGCCTCATTGTTGGCATTATCTTGTCTTCTAGGGCTGGCCAGTCCAGAGCAGATTAAAAAACAAAAATGTGGGTAACAACTACTACATTACTGTAAGTTGTGTGTTACAATTTGGAAGAAAAGAAAGACACCATTTTCTTATAAGGTCAGAAACTTCAGATGTTCCAGAGTGGTCTTCATTCTTGCACTCACATCCCTTGACCCGCGGTTATTTGCTTTTTTCCTTTTTTTTCTGTACTAGTAACTTAATAAGTAATTTGCTTGTACTAGTAATTAGTACTTAATTTTGTGCTGAATAAGAGTTGTTGAATGTGTTCATATCAAAATATTCCCCAATTGTGTGATGTACTTTTAATATTTGTGTGTTATACCATGTTTGGTTACTACTAGGTGAAAAATAATTAGTAGGCGAATTTAGTAGTTGGTACCTTGGGCCTATGTTTACTCCAATAATAACTTAGCTCGCTGTTTTGTTCTAATACTTTTGCACCCTATAGCAATGGGTGCAACTTTAATATTATGTTCAATTCACGGGGTGCAAATCCTAAGAAATAGGGTGCAAAGTCTTATGTATGCATGTGCACGAGGATGCAATACTGCAACTCCAATATGCAGTAAACATGTATGGTGCATACGATGTACTTTTTCTTTTTTCATTTTTTGGATTTTTGTGATTGTGATGTTGACCAACTAATCTTGATTCTTGAGGTTTCGAAGTTATTGATTAGGAAAACCTCATGCAGCCGTTCTTGGGGTTGAACTTAGTAACTAAAAAGATTCTTTTGTTCTCAGTTCAAAGTTTAACATGTTACCACGTCTATTTTTAAGCATTCTTCTGCACCTTTAAGTTTCAACTTCAATATACTTTGTTGCCATTCAGAAATCAAGAACAAGTCATTGCAACCATTTTGAATTTCCTTATATCCTAAAACTTTCAAGCTAACAAATTTCTACATGAAAATCAACACCATCATTTCATCTCATCCATTTTATACCTCATACCAAATTACTTTATTACCTCGATCTTTCAACTAAAACCTCCAAAAAATCAAACCACTCTCAGTCTAAAAATTAATTCTGCCGCAAGTGATTTTTATGTGCATAAAGAGTAAACCTTTTCTTTTAGTTTTTTATGAATTATGATGAAGCTCATAAAAATCGAATGTGCTTGCATCTTAATATATTATCAATATTACCATACTTAATGTATCTTACTATCTCATTATGATCAATATATTCATACTTAAAACAGACTGCTCATAATCGGGAATACCACACAACCGCTGAAATAATTTTGGACTTTTGGTTTGTAATTTAAAACAGACTGCTCATAATCGAGATTACCATCATTAATTTTGTCAATATGAAAATCACATTCCGTTCTTTCATAGTCCGTATAGGAGCATTTATTTTTCTAATAAAAGAATAACACATTCAAAGCTATGCAGCGATGCACATGAGGGGAATTTAATGCGGTGCATTGCTTGGAAAACTTTTGAGTGTCTAGTCCCGGACTCGGGCTGGGTGGCCCAACCCGGAACCGGCCCAGTACCAGTACCGTGCTGAACCGGCCCGGCCCGGCGGCTCGGCCAGTGACCGGTCCAGGTAGGCCCGGCCCGGGGGGTTCCCGGTGCGGACTCGGGTCACCCAAAAGCCGAACCGGCCCGGCTAGTTCGGGCCCGGTTCCGGGCTTTTTAATTTTTTTTTCATTTTTTTTTAATCTTTTCGGGTTGAGCTGGGTATTTTGGGCCATTTGGGGTGGTTTGGGGGGTTGGGGGGGGGGGGGGGGGTTAATTAGGAAAAGGGAAAAAAAATGACCATGGGCCATTTGGGGTTAAACTGTTTTTGTAACTCTTGTATCAGAAAATCATTCAATGTACACCACACATGAGACAGGGATGATCAATAAGGTTCAATCTCCAGCACAGGAAATACAGATAGAGTCATGCTATTCTAACCAATCAACAATGCAACGCATTACCAATTTGCCATTCCACTAATAGATACATTGCAGATTAGCCCATAGAAATGAGCTTCAGTTTTTCTAAATGTCTACTAGATGGACACATTCAAAGGAGGGGAATACCATGTACAATGATCATCCTTGCTCATTCAAAGGAGGGATACCACACTGTTGATCCTCCAACCAAAGGATCTACGAGTCACATGTGGAGAAAAGCTAAGCCCAAACATCTCCTTAGGGGCCTCTCCTCCTTGCTCAGAGAACCCAATAAGCTTTGCAACAATTGCAGCACTCTCTCTTACGTGATCCATGTCCGTACTGCTCCACAAATGGTTGACTAATATCTGTCTCCTCCGTTTGGAGTTCAAGGCTATACCCCACTTTTGGTACATGTCGTTCCTCTCATGTTCAGTAAACCTTTTATAGATAAGCCTGCTTAGCATTCCCCGCTCGCGGCAAATTGCTTTGAGGCTGTTTCTCCAACAAAACATAAGGGAATATCAAGTGTTGTGGTACTTCATGACTTCTTTCAAATAAATAAAAAGAAATACATCTCGGAACTTAAAGCTATTGCAAGTATCAAGATCGGTGTTAAACCAGGTCTAACTCACTAAAAAAGAATCCAAGTGGTAATGTTTACCTCACACTTATAAACTAGACTCAAACCCATAAAAAGAACCGATGTGGGATACTATACTCTTATTATTAGTATATAATATTCACACCTTTGATCCGAGGCTGAGGGAGCCTTGGGCTATATTGGATTGTAGCCTAACCTATTTACCAATAATAACAGTACTTTAATTACTTTTTTGTTTAATTATACCCTATTATCTAGCGACACGTTCGAACTATCGCTATCGATTAGCATACAAGTGCTTTTACTTCGATTTTAATGATATTGTTGATGATGGCATCGATAGTTGTGAATAAACAAAAAGATTAACAATGAAATAGCGATATTTCATAGGGATAGCGAATGATAATCATGTTTGATACTAAAACCTTGCCTACTTTTTTACTGCAAGTTATTGAACTTGTTAAAACAGTTCTTTGTTACAAACTTACAACATAGAGTATGATCTTTCAACAACTTGTTAAAATATCATACTTGGTTTCGTAACAAAGTATAACTAAAGGCTTTGACATAACAGTTGTTTAGTGTGCTTTCAGTTGTTATCATATTGAATACGGAGTATTTTAATGTATTTTTACTTCTCTCTCTCTCTCTCTCTCTCTCTCTCTCTCTCTCTCTCTCTCTCTCTCTCTCAATTTTAGTATCTATAAACAATTGATTTATGATATCTCTACTTGTGATCAGTTCAAATGTAACTAAAAGTTCTGGCTACGCCCCTGGGCTCCGCAACTAACGGCCTGTTTGGATGAAGTGTTGAGAGGTGTTAGTAATGGAAGTGTTAGTAAGTGTTAGTAAGGGTCCGGAAAGGATGGTAAGTGTAAGTGTTAAACGTAAACTTACCTTGTTTGGGAGAGTTAAAAAAATGAAGGGTTAATAACGGAAGTGTTTTCACTTAAATTTACAATAATGTCCTTAATCTTTTTTAAACTACATAGTACCCAAAGTATTCCAAGAAATTTGATTGTTCCCTCGAGGAGCACTAACTGTCTAACTATGGTATACGAAGTATATATATGTAATACAATTATATATTTGTTCCCTTATGAATAAGAATGCAGCGATAGAAGTTGATAGGATCAGTCGGTGCAAAAAAATTAGGTATTTATAAGTTGATAGAAGTTGATTTCTCTTCTGCAAAAAATCATCATAGTTCATCCTCGGTTGAGCATAAAATTTAGATTTAGAAAGAATTTACATAAATCGCTGCTGTATATATAAATATATATACGGAGTATGATATTTACAGAAATTGGTTAGATTGATAATTCATTGATTTCATTCGGATTCCTCCTCGCCTAAGCTCTGCTCTAAAAATAAAAGAATCAAACTTACAAAACAACGAAGAAAACCAGTGGTTGACAATTATGTAAGCAACACAATACACTGGACAAAAAACGGAAGTTGCGGATGCAGGTAGAACGGCAACGACTAACGAGGGTAAGATATGTCCAACACTTCAATACACCCCAATTTGGGGTGTTAAAAAACTCAGCCATTGGGGTGTTAGGAAGATTTCCTGCAACACCTTTGAACACTTACTAACACTCCATTTTTTTAACAATTCCTCTCCCAAACAAGGGTTAAGACCAACACCCTTCAACACTTCCATTACTAACACTCCTAAACACTCAATCCAAACAGGCCATAAATGGTGTACCCTTGGGCTCCGCAACTACATGGTGTACAATATTTACCCGAAAAGACCTCCACATGGGATGTCAATATGCCATAAGCCATTGAGTGGCATTTCAATCACTTTTATTCATTTTAGAAACATGTTAATTATCAAGATGGAGACTAGGCCCTATTAGACAACAAACACAGGACACTGTACTATAGATGTGCAATATGATAGTGGATAGTAGAATAGGAGATGAATGTGGAAAGTGTACCTTGATGCAAGTGTGAGCCGTTTGCCACCTTGCACTGCTGGAGTTCCATTTGAAAATGAACCGTTGAGATAGGAAAGCCTTCTAACCTCTACCTCCATGTATATGGAGTCCGTTGTGTCACCTTTAAAGAGCAAGAAAAAATATGTCCTGTGGACCAATGATATGTTGCATTTCTGCCAAAGCTCAATTATCAGTTTTTGCAGCCTTTCAAACTCAGATGGCCAATTCGAAGGAGTTCCAGGTGGATCCAGTCCTCCTACATCTTTCATACTCCTATGGGAACTATTGCGCCTTAAATTTACACCCTCAACCTATCAAGAAAGTTGTGGAATAATTAGCATCAGCAAAAACAGACACAGAAAATAGAAACCTCAATATTTCAACTTTGTGTTTGGAGCATGGGAAATAGTAGGGAAAGGGAAAAATGCTAAGACAATAGATATTACATTTTTTACTTTACCTTGGTGAATAAAAAGGAGAAGTTAGATTTGACAAAAATTAGAAACTTACATATACTAGATCTCTTAGACTTCATGTATTGAAAGTATATAAATAAATTAGTCTGAACAAATATCTACATTAAATTATTGAGTTTGAACCCATTTTTCATTTCCCCCCAAAATTTCCTTTCTCTCAAATTTCCCTACACCCTGTTTTCTTCCCTAGCAATAACTGAGATAAAAATGGACCCCAAACAATTTCCAAAGCATAGAAGTCTCGTTTTTATGGACCTGATGATCCTCATAGTGAAATTTAGCCATCTCCTTGAGGCCAGCCACAAAAGTGTCAACACTTGGGATTTCTTCATCTTCTGGAGCAGTGCTCTTACCATTGAGTTCATCTATGAAAGCACTACCATAAGAAGACAAAGAATTGTTTCTTGAGAGTTGAGGATTGTCTGCTCCATAGATCATTGGAGGAAGTTTCCACTGTTTCCTTTGGAAGCCTTCAGGTCTTCCAGGAAAATCTTTCTCTAAACCATTGGGTGGGGTATTCTCACCACAATTTTGTTCTTCCAACCCAGATATGGATGAAGAAAATGAGCGGCCCATCATATTAGCTCTACAGCTCTTGCTTCTAGTCAGCTTCAAGATTCTGGAATCTAGCATACTTCGTGACACGGCCCACTGAGATGACCTGTCAGGCATTTTCTGCTCCTCTAGTACTTCTGGGATGAAATAACTTCTGGCGTCACTGGATTGTCCAGATGAGGTTGATGACAACTCCTGAGTAGAAACATTTCCGACTCTAGGCGATACTGAAATCTCCTCTCTGTTTTCGTTGTTGAGTAAACTAAAAGATTCAGGAGTATGATTTATGATGCCAGAATCATCTTCCACTTCAATACAGTGAACTTCCTTGCAATGCTCATCAGAAACTTCTTCTTCGCTCCTAAATGCAACTCCATTTCTACTTTCACTCAAATCCGATGAGACAACGCTCTCTTCATTGAGTTCAATCTCTGAACCAGTAACTGAGCAATCATCACATGCCTTCTCTATTATAGATTCAGAAGGGTAACTAATTTCTTTCTGCAACTAAAAGAAGAAGAAAATGATAAAGATTAGAACGAAGGAAAGGGAAGTTGCGAAATTTCAAATTTGTGCAGTGCATCTTCAACAAAGTACTCACTCGGTCCATTTGAGAATTTCTAATAAATCGTATTATAATTTATGATGCACTCACTCTTTACAAGAAATCATTGGTCCTTTTTATAAACATCGTTGTTATATGAAATTGTAATTGTACTTTCCATATTTTGCCCCATAATTTAAGAAATTTAAGTACTCCATAATTTCTTTGCATGGGTATATTTTGTGCATTATGGTAAGGACCAGACAGAGTTTTAAATAAAAATGATAGTTCATACCTTTTGGTTGGAACCCTGATCATTTCCTTTCATTTGCAGCAAACCTTCAATCCGTGATTGAGCAAGATCACGTTGTCTAGCTAGTTCCTTGATCTCTTTCTCCAACTGCATGCATGAATAACACACAACTATAATATTTGAATGGAACTCTCATACAAAGTTGCAAACATCAAAACAAAGAGCAAATGTACTGAAGGAAGAGGCCTCACCTTTTCAATCAGCATATCTTTCTTCCTAAGCATTACCACATGATCACAGCAAGTCCCTGGGGTTCTCAGTTCACTCTCCAACCTAGCCAACTCTTTCTGTAGATGCTTCACCAAAGCCTTGTCAGACATTACTACATTGACTTGTGCATTCGTAGAAACCTCCTTTGCACAACAAGCAAACAAAAGTGTATTTCGGGATTGTTCAACATGGCTCCTTGCAGGGCTTAAGGTGCATACTATAGCCGTTCTAGCATTTCCCCCCAACGAAGGTTGCAAAATACGTGTTAACTTAGAATCTCTATAATTTACATGACCGTTTCTTCCTTTGCTGTAATAAGTCAAAGCAATGATGTCACAAGACTGGGTTACCCAATAAAAGCCACAACATGAAACCTTGATAATCTAGGAATCTAGCACATAAGAACAAAAACCAGGAAAATAATATCAGAGATTCTTTTAATGGATTTAGCACTAAACCAAGCCATAATTATTTACCACTGGCATAGAATTATGCATACAAGATGAGAATTTTAGGCTATCTGGATGGAATGTTTTAGAAGGGCTTAGAGAGCATGGTTTTGGATGACTTAATTTATCCTTTGATATATATATATTTGAAACTATTTATTAAAAAGGGTCAACATATACGTGTTCCCTACAGCACTTATTTGTTTTCCTAAATATTATATTATCCAGTTAAAATTTGTTTTCCTAATTATTACTCCGTATTATCCAGTTAAAACACGCTAGCGATGTGCTATTATTGAAAAAGATATGCTCACACTGTGAGTCTGTGAGATAGCTTAGTTTTTATATTTTTATTATAAACAAAACTATGATTTTCTTATACAACAAGATCCAAGCCTTAGTCCCAAAAGATAAGGATTATAGGAAGGGGTAGAATATGAAGAGATGACATATATTACTCCTATTTTGGGAATAAGAATCGTAGTCATAGTGTTGCATTTAGGAGTAATAGCCGATATAAGTATGTTAAATTTGAGGTTTTTTTAATATCAACAATTATATACATGGCTTGATTTTTACGATCATTTATATATAATATATATATACCAAAGTAAAAGAACATAATTTATCAGCAAGCACAAGGACAAAATTTATACACGTAAGAACAGAATTTTAGCCTTTGCATGCCTGGTGTACATAAAGCATAAACTATGGTAAAGACTTGATGAACACCTGAGCTTTCGAATCACAGTTCCCAGTGTTAGTAAACTACGGTTGATATGGCAGCCTTCTTTAAGCCTTTGACCAATTGATAATGCCTGAGAAGCGCGCTCACTCCCAGCAAGATCAACAAAGTTCTACATTAACAAGTTAAGGAATGCATTACATTTATTGATTGTAACCGGCATTTATAATGGCCACAAATGAATAGAAAGTAACCTTAACCAAACAAAGTGACACATACCACACTAGCTGAAAGAGTTGTTTTGTTCCCCTTCCCTATGAACTCACGAGCAGAGCTCTCAATTGTCTGAGAAAATCCCCAAGCAGAAGAGTAACAACTCAGTCCAGTAAAAGATTAGATGGAACCGACCACAAAAGAAAAAAAAATGTCACGTACAAGTCTAAGGATTTGATGAGATCTAGAACTTGCTTCGTTCAAGTAAGTCTCTCCAATTTGTCTTTGAGCTGCCAAAGATAACAAGAATACCTAAATTATGAATATGGAATTTCCAGTGCTATATTACAAGACTGCAGAATGGTAAAATTGAAACATCCTGCAAACCTTCACATATGGATAATAGTTCCTTGAGATGATCCCAGTCCCTCAGAGTTTCTTCAGTGAGTTTCTCAATTATAGTCCCTTTCTGGAGAAGCAAATATCTTATTAAGAAAGGTAAGGAGACACCGCAAAAACAAATTAGGAATCCAAACTTACCTCAGGATCATCAAGCAGTCTTAGAGGAGAAGTATCTGAGCTGAGGAGGTCTCTAACCACTTCATTGTAGATTTCCATTGCAGAGAACTTCAGCACAAATGCTCTTTCTTCATGCTGGTAGAAAGAAATGATGTTAATTAGTAGAAATTTCATACTCGTATTAGATTTCAAATATAAAATGCTAAGCTGGTATAAGTGTACCATGATACCTTTTGCATGTATTCATAAATATCGGCCACTGTGTATTCGGTTATTCCATTCATTGTATAAGTCTTTCCACTGCTGGTTTGTCCATATGCAAAAATAGTTGCTGCATTAAAGTTTAGCATTGGAAATGGTAAGTTCCCCCAAGGCAAATAAAACATTTTTAGGAAAGACATTAAAAGAGATAATGATAATGATAACAATAATAATAATATTAATAGTAATAATAATAAGATAACAACAACAATAATAACAATAACTTACAGTTAACGCCCTTCACAACTGAAAGAGCAATATCCTTTGTTCCTGCCTCATACACTTCTCTTGTTAAACAGTCACCCCTAAATACTCTATCTGTCTCCAAAAGGAATGATGACAAATTAAGTCAAATTAAGTTAAATACACTGATCCAAACACCGGAAGAGACCTTCACAATAAAATTCTTTCATCCTAAGCAATAAATGAGGTTTAAATGAAAAGGAGAATAAATCCCTTACCAAAAGTATAAGCACATGGTAGTCCGGAGCGCTCCTGGAGGCTATTCCTATACAAGATGGTGGTTTCATTAATGCATTCCCAATCTGAAACTTCATTCCTTGAAACCTCTTTTTCACTCAAAGGCCTTAACCTCACCAACACCAAGATCTTCTCGCCTCCTCCAAGTCCAGTCCCATGCATTTTGTCGGACTTCATCAACTCTTCTCCACCAACGGCTCCCATTTGTGCCCCAACCCACCCACCCCCTACACTCTGTCCAGTTAAGCCTTCAGGATCAAATTAAATGCAATGATCTCCTGAGATTCAAAAGCATATGAACATTTTGAAGCAAGAAGCCTGAGCTTCTCACCTTTCCATTTCCCTGTCCAAAAGAAATAATAAACTTGAGAAGAAAACTAAATGGAAAGATATTAAACAGGTTTAGAAACCAGGTGGTTGTAGATGAACATCAACCAGATCTAGATAGCAATAATAATTAATCAGCTTACTAAGCAAATATAGAAAGCATTTATTTAAGGTAACTAACAACCACTTTAGAAACGTTAATTCAAGGATTAGTTGTGATTAAGCATTTTGGTTAGACTTTGACATCAAATGATTCAACAGGAAATACATACATAGGTACGTACATATGTACACACTGACACACATGCATACACATAGACACACACACACATATGTATATATAGATAGAGCTAATCAGTGATGATCACCCCACACATACATCAATACATACACATATATAAATATGTACATATATATATATATATATATATATATATATATATAGAGAGAGAGAGAGAGAGCTAATCATTACAATGTGAACCAGATAGAGGTCACCTTGCTTAATGGAAAAGAAAAGGGGTGGTGTGGCACTCTGGCCCCAAATTTTAGGATGGGCATTGTTCCGGTGAAGCTCCACATTCAAAAGAATGGTGAAGACGCAAAAACAAAAAAACTAATCCAGTTCAGTTAATTTCAGTTCACCTTACACATATATGGTAGATTCACACAAAGTCAGATGAGCAGAAAACTCTACAGCGCCTCAAATCCTGCGCAAATAGTGAGAAAAGTTAGAATTCCATGTAAACAATAAACATATAAAAATAGCAACAAAATTCGGAATAAAATAATATAGAAAGTAGAAACACAGGAATCCGTCAATGCGCGTCCGGAATCGGCCAACTAGCAAGCATTTATCTCTGTTGAAATCGTTGATAGTGCATTTAATATCACTAACGGTAAAAAAAAACAATTAAATAAAGCAGATTACAGCATCAAACACCGGATATCGGCATTTAAATCGTCAAATACGAGCTTCCGGAAACAGGTGAAAGAGTAAAAACAGAGCTCCCTTAATTATAAATTTATAACCTCATTGATTTGATTCATAGCTCAAAACTTCAAATAATGAACGCTACCTAAAATTTCCAGAGGAAGAAATGAAACGGAAGTTAGAACATAGAAACTCACGTTTCAAAGTAGGCTCTCCTTTCTCTCTCTATCTCTATCTATCTGTTGAGAGAGAGTTTGTGTTTGGTGAGGAGTCGAATAGTTCCATTTCTTCCTCTCTTTCTCTCTTTGCTTAGCGCCAGAGCTAACCGACGAAGGGGAAGGTGGGGAATTACCATTTTAGGCTTGTGCTTTTTGTTAATGACAGCAACGAACAGTCTAGGGATAGCACCTGCCACGTGCCAACGTGGCGCAGGAATATCGTGGGCTCGCTTTTTCAACTCCCAACGTGTGAAGTTTCAGACTTCTACTGCTAGATTGCTGGGTCATGCCTTGGACATGGACCCTCCATCTTTTCTTTTTCTTAATAAAATAATTATACCGATTTTAATTTGTACCGAATACTTTATTTAATGAAGTTTGTTTCATTAAAATTTCCGAATATAATTTAATAAAAACAGAGTTGGCTTTAGTAGGACATATGGGCCACCTAATCAATATATCCGTAACTTAAAAACTTTCTCATTTCAAATGTAGGTAGATTAAGAATAGTGAAAGATAATAGAGATATTACCCGAAATAGGACTAAAAAAGTTTGAAAATTCCAAAATAGGACTGTCATGTTTTTATTGCCAAAATAGGACTAATTACTGTCATGTTTTGGCAGTACCAGACTTCAAACATGACAGTATTTTCCAAACTTGACAATAATTACTCCTATTTTGGGAATAAAAAACATGTCAGTCTTATTTTGGAATTATCAAACTGTTTTAGTCCTATTTCAGGAACTTTCCCAAGATAATATGAATTATTGAGGGTATGATGGGAAAATAGTGGAATAATGTGATGAAATGTAGGATGAATTCAAAAAAGTAGTTGTAATAGTATATTATTTTTAGAATTATTGAGGATATGATGAGAAGATTTAGAAGTGAGAAGATTTTTTTGTTACGGACGGAAAAGGAAAGTGGGAAGATTTTTTTGTTACGGAGGGAGTAGCAATTAGCAATGATGATATGTGCAGGGGCGGAGCCGGAGCACTAGATCGCACTCGGCCGGTACAAAGATATTTTTGAAAAAAAATTGTAACGGAATTTTTTATACTAAAAATTAAGGTATTTTTAAAATTTGGGGTGGGTCAAGACCTAAGTTGGCCCATCCCTAGCTCTGCCCATGGATATGTGGTAGCTTTTTATAATAATTATTCTTACTATCATGCATAATTGGAGAAAATAAAAAATTAGAACTTGTTGGTATTTTTGAGGTTTTTGACACTTTTGATTATTGTACCAAAAATACTTTTGGTGCACGCTTCTCAATTTTTCATATTTAGCTTTCGGTTTTCATAAAAGTGATTATTTTTGAGAAAATAAAAGTGATATTTTTTATCATTCAATTATTATCATTGTGATATTTTTATTCCACCACCATTTATTGAGACAAAATCATAGTAGAAGAATTAAAACCATCAATTTAACAACACTCAACTAAGTGTGGAGAGTTTTGAAGTCAGTGACTGAAAGTGTCTATCGCACAATACATAAAGACTAAAAATGGGGGGCGGGTCGAGTGTCAATAGTGTCACTATATAATAGTTGAGGGGTTAAAAGTAACAACAACTCATCAATTTTTTATCAAACACATACTCCGGTTTTTTACTTTGGGAGCCTGACAGCTAATTTTTGCAAGTGACAGATCGGGCGTAGTAAAACATAAAGTATTCTAGGATCGATATCTTTGAGCCTTCTTTTCTCACAAGAAGGCTCTCACTGTCCTCTCTTAAGGAGACTCTCACTTTCACACGCTCAAGAGCTCTCTTCAAGGTTTACATAGAAACGGGAAGCTTCTCTATACTAATATCATCGAAGCTCCTCTAGAATTTTTCATACGTGGACACATCTAGATTCTTCCAAAAAGTATCTACAAGTTTCTCTAATCTTCTAGAAGGATTTAGAGACCACCACAATTCTTCAAAATGTTCTAGAGACTTCCACACACTTCCACGTGATTTTAGTGAGTTCTACGCTCCTCTAGATAACTCCACATTATTATTCTAGAACATTCAATAGAAAATAGAAACTAATAATCCAACCTTTTAGCGGTGTTCTTACAATAGTCCCACCTTTTCATTATTCAGGAATAATCCAACCTTTGCACTCCGTCTTCATTCAATGGTCCCTGACCGGTTGATGACCTGCTATTCCAAGTTATTTTCTTATCTTTGCAAAACATTATGTGACCATAAGGTGGGATTTATGGTATAATATTTTACAAAGATAAGAAAATAACTTGAAATAGCATGTCATCAACCGGGCAGGGACCAGCGAATGAATATGGGACGCAAAGGTTAGATTATTCCTGAATAACGAAAAGGTAGGACTATTGTAAGAAGACCGCTAAAAGGTTGGATTATTAGTTTCCATTTTCCCATACTTCTTTACACATATAGAGAATTTTGGACATCTCTGAGAATTCTAAAATTCAATGAATTTCTCCACTAAATAGGGAATCCAACATAGTCTCGAGAATCTTTTGATCTTTTTGTTGCAAAAATGTGACAACATATATGTCAAACAAAATACTTTCTTGCTCACTATAACCACGAAAAGTCAACTCTTGTGTCATTAAAGGTCTAAAAGAATTCACACTTTCATTCAAATGAATGTGGTATTCTGCAGCCAATACTTATATTCCTTTTGAGACATGTATGTTTCCTGAAACACTTTGCCTATTATTTTAACAATCAATCTAAATTATCCTTAATTGGTATTTAATTTATTTTTGAAAAAGGGGAACATTTAATATATTATAAGTAGTGGTACTACTATATTTTTTTGCCCGAAGCGGGGGCGCTTGCCCCCTCATGCCCCTCGGAAATAGATGCTTTCTTCTACTGCCACCTAAGAAGCACAAATTTTTTTCTGGAAATTTGAGAAGGCGCAACAGCAAGGTCAGAATAAGAATCTCAACATGCACACACTTTGTGGTGGAGCCGTGGAGCAATGAACAGTTCTCCTCACAACAACATTATCCACTATTAATGCAAGCATGTTTTTTTTTTTTTTTTTTTTTTTTTTTTTTTTACCCCGAAAGGCAAACCACCAAAATCAGTGGGGTAAATGTCGGGGGATCATTTACCAGAGTTTTATTAGAATCGGAGATGAATACAAATCAAGAGGGGGACTAAGCCAATACCTCTTAAAAAAAACAACTAATAAAAGAGCCAAGCAAATAAAGTTAACCCGAAATCCTAAGAGATGGAATTCCAAAAAGATCCATGTAATAAGCATTTTTAGCTCGAAAAGGAAGCATGCTGGGTTGTGAATAAAAGACTTGTTGGGCCGGCTTCTGGTCCGAGATATGATGAGCAGTCCAGTTGGCCTCACGCCAGACACCCGAAAAGGAAACCTCTCTACCTCACGCAAGCATGTTTTTTAATCACATTATTTTGCAGTTTGCTCCTACTATGCTCTAATGTGCTATGTTCCTGCACTTAACTTTATTTGTTAATTGATCCAGTTTGATAGCCTAAGATTGCACATTTTGTCCCTTTTATTCAATCGCCTACAGTTTTTTTCCATGCCTCATTTAATTGGGTTGCCACAAAATTAATGTCAAGATTTCATTCCGTTTATTGTTTATAAATGTTGTTGTCGTACAATAATTGAAGTAGGAAATAGATTGAAATAAAAGTAGTCCTCCACCTGTATGATATGTTGATACATGAATTGACACAAAATGTTTAGGGCTTACAAAAATGCAACCAATATAGGATATTTTCGAACCTACAAGCCACATAATGCAGTTTTTTTGGGCAGGTTCACTGAGAGATTAATTGCTTGGGACTTCATTCGTGACACCATCTCGCATGGAATTTCATTCTGTTAACGTGATTCCTATTTTCCTCTAATGTTTTAATGATAAGGGAAAATCCATGAGTGAAAACTACTTTCTGCATTGAGTTTTGTGATTCCACCAGATGATATAGTTACCTTCTAATGTTTAATGCATAATGTTATATCTCTATTTCATTTTCTTGTAATACTTAATATATTTGAGTTCACTTCTCACAGCAAATCTGGGTTACCTCAACAGGGATTGGGTTTTGCGACCCCTCTGCATCATCACAACACTCTGTCTGATCATCGACCAACAACTTAATTGAGGTGATCACCTTTTTCTAGTTGTGGAGGAATGTATGTGTTGGTAGAAAATAGTTTGAGTATAGAAATTGACTTCAGTATAGTGAAAATTAGGGCCGGTCCAGTCGATTTTCGGGCCTATGGGCGAGATAATATTTGGGTCTTATATTCTAGACAAATAATAAACTATATTTACTTAAAATTATAATTATAATAAAATTATCTAATCAAGGTCATTAAATAAAAATGAAACTCATTTTATTGTTATTTAAATTACATATTTGGTGAAAAGTAACAGCACAAGTGTCACATAAAAAGAAAAATATTACTTAAAAACGTTTCTCATGTAATTTCCAAGATCCAATTTCTTAGTAAAAACAAAATTTTTCATTGATCCCTTTGTTTGAGTTTGCCCCCTCTGAAGGTGAGCATGAAACCTGCAGGTTAAGTTTTATAATTCCTTTGTTGGGGTTTCCCATCAGCTCAGTTTTTTACTTCAAAGCGTGGGTCCAATTATTCTAGATATACGTTGTTTTATTTGTTTCGATGTATGGGATTTGTATGATTGGTCTAAAGTTTGCATTTTGCATCACTTTTCTTTCAGTAGGGGCAGTCATTTTGCTATTTTATCTGAATCTGGGCTCAGATTTTCACGATGTTTGTAGCAATTGAGGAGATTTCTTATCCTTGGGAAATGAAAACCATAAAAATCACCCCAGTTAAAGTGAGTTTGCTGGCATGACTTTGCTGGTTTATGTTGTTCGATAGGGCAGACAAACAAATAACTCATCATGATGAAGGTAGCCATTCTTTCCTCACATGCCCTTTGTTTATACTTCAGAGCCCAGTTATACTGTACCTTACCCCCTCCACTGAGTTTATGTAGTGTGCTTAAATTTATTATGTTGAAGGGATTGTAAAGAATGTGTTAAGATGAAATGCCTATTTGTCAAGGGGTGAAATCAGTATAGTTCACACAATAACACTGACCAAAAATTTCTTTGGATACTTGAATGGATGAAATTCAAATTTGTAAATAAGGAAATAGTGGAGAGATATTGATAAAGTATTGATACTAAAAAGTGTGGTCACTTTCTATTTTTTTTGAGAGAGTGGTCACTTTCAAATTTTCATTATATATGTAGTAAAAGCAATGCGTGCCATAAGTGGTAGTTTGGTTGATCCAAATGGGGATCTCACTAAACGAAGGAAGAGAGCATTTGACTATATTCCGTCTTGAAAATTCAATTGATCCAAATGGGGATCTCACTTATGTGAACATATTGTACTAATTAGATTTGCTTATTGTTATGTGAACATATTGTACTAATTAGATTTGCTTATTATTATAGGTTTCCAACACTTCAAAAGATGAGATATCGTCAATAAATGAAATTGGTGAAGTCTCAGTCTCTCGAATGCATAAGTTAATTATGTTTGTGAGAATCTATGAGTAGTCTTTCATTATTAAATACCAAAGTATATATGGGGATGTACATGTTTTGTTTTGGTGTTATATAATATATATACTCCGTATATAATTGTGCATTTGAAACAAAAAAAAAGCAGCAACAAATACCTTTTTTTCTAGTACTGTAAATTAACAAAACCAGAAATACACTCGCGTGATCTTTAATGGTTTAGCATGGCCCGATTCTAAAGTTGAAACCATTCAATATCATATTGATCAGTTCAATAAATGAAAAAAAGAAAGAACATACTAAAAACCCTTTAAATACCCGCTATTTGATTCGGTTCAATTCGGTTCTTATGTGCACACTTACAAACTTAGTCAAACAGACAAAAAAAAATGAAACAAATAATCCGTATAAAACAAATATAGGAGATGGAGAGAATATTACAGAGTAATTAATACTCCGTATGTACATATGTAATTTATAGATGCTCACCTAAAATCTGTTGCATGCATATACTTGCTCTTCCCTCTTTGACTTATCAAAGACGAGAGACCCTTAGCTTTACTATTTTTTATATAACTACCTACAAATAAATCACTTCAATGCAATACTGAATCAGTAACTGAATCACCAATTCGCCCTGCATGTACAATGGGACAACATCCTTATGACTTACTCGTACTCGGATGAGCAGAGAAGTAGGCAAGCGCGCCCACAAACGGCGCATTAATATAAGTCGTGGGCTCCGACTTCTGGAAATCGCCACGGTCATCCTCGAACTCGTCGTTCTTCCCGGGCCCACCCACGACCGCCCCGACCAACAAGTTCGGGTTCGGGTTCGACGAGTTGAAATAAAAAACGTACCCGTCATGGCACGGGATGGGCTGCGGGTGGTCCTTGACCGAAGGCAGGGACGACCCGCGGTGGTGGATCCGTTGAGGGAACTCGTGACCGTACCCGACCATGTACGAGATTTTTTTCGGGTTGTCACCTAGGATGTAGTCCACTTGCCTCTTCGCCACTTGCCGGAGCATGGCGGGGCTGACGGTGACGCTGCCACAGTGGACCGTCTGGGAAGACCGCTCCAGGGACGAGGCGTAGACGAGGAGCATGAGACTCAGTAGGGTGGCGTGCTGCAGATTGCTGCCCCCGGGCTTGTAAATTAGGCCTCCTGGGGTGTAGTCTACGTGTGAAGTTGGCGTTTCAGGGATCAATGTGCACATGAAGCTGTCCGCTGAGCCTTTGTATGATTCTAAAGCATCTACGTTACCTTCTAACACTTCCTGCATTATTACATTGTGTGTGTTATATGGCAAGTTGATAGTCCAACCTCAAAACTAACAAAATGTAAACATGTTTTTACTGATTTTTTTTTTATATTATCATATTTGAGCCTGTTTAATGGGGGTGTTTGGATTTGATTCTCAAAACTTATTATGCTCCTTCAGGAAGTAGAAGCAGAAGCTGGAGTGTTTGGGTGAAATTCCAAAAACACTTCCGATGCTCTAATTTACTCCCAGAATCAGTTTTTTTAGAAGTTGGGGGTACCAGCTTCTGGAAACTGAGATTCTGATTCTGATTCTGCTGTAAAAAGAAGCAGAAGCAGAATCAGTTCCAAAAACCCCTAAATTAGATACGATAGAGTTTTTGGTGTATTTATTATTGTCTGATAACATTGAATTGTCTAAACTTTAAAGAGATTAAGAGACTGCATCGGTTAAAATTGGTGAGATTTGCAGGGGTGGAGGTGGAGGGGTGGCCAACCGGGCCACGGCCCAGCCGAAATTTTAAAATTGTTTATATTTTAAATATAATAACTTATGTGTAAAAATTTATCGGTAAAAAATCTGTTTACCGGCCCAGTCCAACTCTTACTCTTGGTTACGCCCCTATGAGATTCTAACCGAAGTAGATGAATTGAATAATGCAGCGATTTAGTCAATTCAATAAAAAAAAAAGTAACTAGAATATCTTATTTGAGAAAACTATGAATTTGGTTCTCGTACTCTCACAATAACGTCAATTAGGATCTTATACTTAAAAAAAATTAATCAAATCCTCAAACTTTGAAAAACGTTCAATTGAATCAATTTGCATGTTCTCTGTCCCGCTGACAACAGTTTGCTTATGTGGCACTCACGTGGAAGCCCAATTAGCCATTGCTCAATGTTGTGGTGCACACGTGGACCATCATATGTGCGTCACGTCAGCGTGTGACCTGCTGACATGATAGGTAATTAGGTAACCTGCTAATTGACTCAATTGAACATTTTTTCAAAGTTCGGAAATTTGATTGATTTTTTTAAAGTATGAGAACCTAATTAACATTTTCATGAAAGTACGAGCGAACTGAATTGTGTAATTAAGTTCGCGAAATTCACATTATCAAATGTGAGATTGGAATAGCAATTAGAAAAAATGGAGTATAAGGATGGGTGAACAAGGTATTGACCTTAGAGACCAGAACGTTTATGCCGGCGTACTTATTGTCCCAACCGAAGTCGTTAATAGTGTCAGAATCACCAAGTGTTTGGCGATTGGTGTGCAAATAGTTTAGGTAAGTATCATTCTTAGTAGCCCTCCTTAGCCATGCTGCTGACCACAGCAACTCATCCTGCACGATAATGATCATTTATACGTACTGAGTAATACGGAGTAACTATTAAACCCAATAACAGCAGTCAGCAGTGTGTGGGAAGACTATGGGAGTGTCAACTGTCAAGTGTGTCTAACATGATTGTTATCGCGACTACAAGAAAATGGACTAGTCGTACGAAAAGCCAAGCTAATAAAAATACGTTTTATTAATACTCCCTCCGTCCCAGGGAGAAGTTCTCGGGTTGACTTTCACACATATTTAGGAAATAAAGTTAATGAGGGGTAAATTTTACTGTTTGGCACTGTTTCGACACTGTTTGGCACTGTTTCGACACTGTTTGGCACTGTTTTGCACTGTTTGACACTGTTTTGATGTAGGATAACTTTCCATTTAGGGAAATGGGAACTTTTTGTTGGGACTACCAAAAAAGGAAAGTGGGAACTTCTCTCTGGGACGGAGGGAGTAATAAATAAAAAGTAATAGTAATTATGTAATACGGAGTAGTTATAAATACAGGAGTAGTAATTAATTAATACTACTTTTGTCTCACTAACATTAGGACATGATGATGTGATGAAATTATCAAGAAAAGTGAGTGTATATGATTAATATCTAATTGATAAATTAAGAATAGAGTGGAAATGATTTAGAATCATACAAAATTTACCAAATTTAGTATTCTTATGTGACCATTTTAGTGCGACGGATCCAAAAAGAAGGATTGGGCAATCTTAAGTCTAAACGGGAGGGAGAGATTAATGCTTTCAAAAAAGCAATCAAATAAAATGATTAGAACAACTAACCCATTGAAAACACAACAAAAGTCAAATGTCGGCTATCATAATGGAAATGATGAGTCATTTTTGGAACGAGATCTAATAGTAGTTATAATTATTCTAAATAAAACTGAAAGTTAACCGAAGTGCACTATGATTATTTGTTAATAATGTCCTAAATATCATTTATTTGATCATATTACAAATTCAAATTTCCTCAATTACGAGTGAATGAATCTTATATTGGAAGGAAAATGATGCTGATTCAGTTTATGCAATTTGTGAATGTCGTAAACTTGTAATACTTGAATTTTATCAATATATTGATAAATTCATAATCCGAAAACCGTCTTTTTGTGTTTTAGTAAGGGGGAAAGACTGTGTACATCCGACCCTCCCTTACCTTACCGTAGGTGGGAGCCTTTGCGACACTGGGATAAATTCATAAATATTGCTAAGACTTGCCTGATATCCATCGAAATCGCAGTAAAAGGGGCAAACGGCGCCCCTAATATTAGCATTGTCACTGTAAGCTCCCCGGAAAGAATCTGCATAAGTGAAGACCCGTGTGGCATTTGACAACAGAATATGAGCATAGTCGGGGTCGGATGACCGGAATGCCATGGATGAAGCGGCCAAAGCGGCAGCGGTCTCTCCGGCTATGTCGGATGCCGGGTTCGGGGCATCCACACTGTACACAGTCCGAGGTGTATCCATATCTTCCGGCCGTTCCCAACACATATGGTCCAATATCGGATCTCCCACCTGTGCATTTTTGTTACATAAATTGTTTTTTTCAGCCTTTTAACCAAGATGAAAATGTGCACGCTACCATTTCGACTTTAATTAGTTAGATAAAAATGTAAAAGATCAGAAATAGGGACTAATACGTAATACCTCCGTTCTTAAATAAATGCAACACTTTGACTTTTACACTATTCACATGTTCTACTTTGACTACGTTTTATTTATTAATGTAATAAAATTATTTTATGGAAAAAATATTGTTAAACTTGTCTCATTGTAAATTTTCATAATCTATTTTTTTTAATTTTTTTTACTAATACAAAATCATTTATATTAATGGTCAAAGTTGTGTCTCGGCAAGTATGAAATGTTGACCGTTGCATTTATTTAAGAACGGAGGAAGTATTACGTAGTACTCCGTATGTTTGACTAAGTTATACAAAGTGCATTACTAGAACAATATAATTCTCCATTTGATCATATTAAAAGATCATATTAAAAGTATAAAACTACCTCAATTGAAAATAAGGGAGTCTTGTCCTACGAATAAAACAATAATGATGGTATTTGTGAATATAATTTTGTCTTTACTAGTCCCATTTGAGAATTTAATAATAAAAAAATTGACTTTTTCTGTTTTTTTTTATAAAAGTAATTTTAATGACCATTATTAAGTTTGATTTGACATTATAATGGCAATGACACATTTTCGTTTATACAGAGTATATTTTTATTTTAATATTCTGTAATATTTAAAGGGAAAATCTCAAAGATCATCTATGAATTAATGTTTCCTATCACAATTTTCCTATTCAAAAAGTATTTTACTTATTTTTAACTCAGAGCCGCCGTAGATGAGGGCGTGCAAAGTGTGCCTTTGTACAGGGCCTCCAAAAATATAAGGCCTATTTTTTCTGTAAAATATATATAGTTTATATATATAGGGTAGTTATTTTTTTAAAATAGTTCTTTACTTTATTTGCCCGAATAATCCAACTATTCCGGTCATCCATCTGAAAGTAAAAAAATCACTTTTTCTTATCCTATTTTCATCGGTTCATTTCCGATTTTAGATTTTTTACTAATTTTATTTGTTCAAGTTCAATTCGAAAAAGTGATCATTTCTCGATCTCAGATTTGTTTATAGTTTTTTTTAAAATTTTCTTAAGGTTGATTTTTGGTATTGTATTGATTTAATATAAGACTTATTTTTCTTGATTTGCACCGGGTCTCATAATTTATTGAGCCGGTCCTGTTTTAACTCATCATGTAAATCATCATTCAAGTATTCATCATTCATTAATAATGATATTTTCTACACGATCGAGTGCTAATTAATTACGAAGTTTAAGCATTGACAAATGACAATTATTTTTAAGGAGATATATAGGTCGCGATGACCTCATGAACTCAACTACCAAAAGTAAAGTAACTTTTGTTGTCATCTTCGATTTAATTTGTTATCTGACTGGTTTGATTTATCTAAACTATATCCTAGACTATCCCTACTTATCGCATTACTCAATACAGAGTTGTTAATTGAGCTATTTAATATGTACGGAGTAGCATATAATCTCGAGTAAGGCAATAATGTCTTCTTTTGGACAGTTTTCAATCTCGACTTAAACAAATCAAACCCGGCTTACACAGTTATAAAATAGACAGGGACCAGGCCAATCATATATCAAACTATGTCAAACCAATTCAGACTAGACGAAATCAGACTAGAAAAAATCAGACCAGACCAACAAATTTCTGTAAGGAAAAAATCTAAATATGACTTAGTGTATTTTGGAAAGACGGATACTACGTATATATTACGCATATTGCTACTTGCTAGTTCCAAGAACAAAAATAATTAACATTATCTATATACTATACCTAACCATGGTATATTGGTATATAGGCCCTATAATGTATTAGGTATACTTGTGTATACGTACTCCTATATAATACGAGTAGTACAGAATATATTACGTAAGGGAAAAGGTGCAAATAGGCCTATGTACTAACAAAAAAAGGTCAAATAAGCCCTTATTTAGGAGGCTCTGTCCGGCCGTCGTCATTTGGGATGGTTCCCTATTTTTTGATGAAATTTTTTGAGCATCTTAGGATGCTTTTACTTGGACTGTAATTTTCCCCAGATCAGACCAGTCCAGACCATACCAGACTAGACTTGGATAGTTATAAAAATACAAAGAAACCAGACCTTACCAAACTTGTTCAGACCAGACCAGACCAGATCAGACCAGACCAGACCAGACCAGACCAGCAAATTACAGTCCAAGTAAAACATCCTTATTCATCAAGTCTACTTTACTCATACCAAATTTCAGCTAAAACTTCAATCGGGAAGGCATTCAAATGAATTCTTAAAGATAATTGCGCTTCTAACCGCGCAGTTATTTTCAAGAATTCATTTGAATGTCTTCTCGATTGAAGTTTTTGCTGAAATTTGGTATGAGTAAACTAGATTTGATGAATAAGATGCTCAAAAAATTCTGCCGGGAACCACCCCAAATGGCGATGACCGGAAAGAGCCTCCTAAATAAGGGCTCATTTGACATTTTTTTGTTAATACATGGGCTTATTTGCACCTTTTTCCTATTACGTAATTTGAAGTAGATAACTTTGTTATTGATGAAGTAAGATAACATAGAGAGTAGTGTTGCACGAACAATTAAAACTTCAGTTTTAGGAAAACTATATATATATATATATGAGGTGATATGATGTGGAGCCAAAAATATCATATTTCAATACCGCAGTCCTCCTCGCGCCACCATACTTCTTTGTAGCGAGTCATATATGCTAGGTTGACCCTAAATCTCTTTAGAGAAATTTTGGAGGTTGATATATTTTAATTAACTTCCCTAAATACATTATATGTTAGAAATATACTCCCTCCGTCCCTTTTTAAATGTCCCGTTTTATCATATTGGGATGTCCCTATTTAATTGTCTCATACCTTATTTGGTAAAGTTTGTGCGGCTCAAAATCATTCTTACTTTATTCTTACTTTATCAAATAATATCAACTACACAAGCCCATTTTTCTTAAAACTCGTGTCACCCTCTTTCGTCCCAATAAAAAAAGGACGGAGGTAGTAGTTGTTAATAGTCCTGTTTTTATACAAACTTTAATCTATTTTCGGATGTATAAAAAAATGCAACTTTAAATAAACAAATTATACAAAATAAAACATTTTGTCAAATCCTAACTATACCATCTACTACTCACACTAATATCATAGTAAGGTTCGTATCTGCAAGGAAATATAACTCTTCTTGTATGAAAGTATATTAAAAGGGTAAAATTAAAAGTATTTAAACATTAAGATGAATAACTTATGTAATTTGGTGTTAATGAGGATAACTACTTGGTTTTTCTCTTGGTTTTGCTAATTTGATGTTCATCAAGTATGAAACTCACGTATGATTTAATGGTCGGTATTGAATATTGATTATCAATGGAGTTGCGTAATCGTTGACTATTTGAAATGTACTTTTGGGATTACCAAAATATTGTTGTTAGTTTTCAGTTTTCACCATAAACAAAAACTCACAACCACCCCGGCACCATAGTTAAGAAGTTGCGCTGTATCTTGCTGTTTTCCCTATTAGTTGAAAATTGAAATAACCTGTAAATTAATTTTTTATGCCTTTATCATTTTGGAAAACAACGAAGGAATGCGTAATTTTGATCATCAACGTCAGGGTCCCCACGTACGTTTACAATCTCCTAATTATTAATTATGGCTAATGCCTAATGCTATATATAATTATAGACATATAGATGCTACGATTATAATCCTTAGTAATAATAGAATATTCTATGTTTCTAGTTTGTAATAACTCACCTTTTTAAATATAGCATACTTGTTAACGATATAATTCCTATATATGGTTGGTGTAGTAAATGCTACGTAGTATCATTAATTGATAAAAAAATACTCTAAATAGAGAAAGTACCCATTTAAAAAACGGGGTATGTGAGCAAAGGTATGATACCATTTGGGTACCATAGAATCTACCTAAAAATAATACGGAGTATGAAACTCAAAAATTAAAGTATGTTATTTCTCCTAAAAAGGAAGGAGTAATTATTGTAGTGGCTGAAAAATATCAATTATTGGAGTAATTGGTACTTTTTATCAATTCTATACGTAGTACTCCCTCCGTCCCAGGGAGAAGTTCCCGGGTTAACTTACACACATATTAAGGAAATAAAGTTACTGAGGGGTAAATTTTACTGTTTGGCACTGTTTCGACACTGGTTGACACTGTTTCGACACTGTTTGACACTGTTTTGCACTGTTTGGCACTGTTTTGATGTAGGATAACTTTCCATTTAGGGAAATGGGAACTTTTTGTTGGGACTGTCAAAAAAGGAAAGTGGGAACTTGTCCCTGGGACGGAGGTAGTAATATTTTTACTCCTATTTACCTTAATTATGGTAAATTTTATGAAATTTTCCTTAATTATTTAATGAATCAATTAATCACGAGGTGCGAAGGCAGAGGAAGGAAGGCCTACCTGTACGAAAATGCGGTCGGGCTGAGACACAGTTTTGAGAAGGTAATCGGTGGCCCACTTAATAGCCACCAACGCATTCTCCAACTCCGCCGCCGGCATGTGCCGCCCGAATTCAATGACACTCCAGGCGAGCATTGTGGTGGTGAAGGCCATCGGGAATCCGAACTTGATGTTGTCGCCGGCGTCGTAATAGCCGCCGGTGAGGTCCATGTTGGCCGCCTTGCCATCTCCCAACCCCGAATGCCCCCGCCACGTCATCCTCTGCTCCGGCGGCAAGCGGCCGGAGCGCTGGCCCTCGAAGAACAGCAAGCACTTCGTCAATGCGTCGGCGTAATTGTGCGATTCCGTCGCCGGCAATCCATTGAGAAGCAGAATCGTGAAAACGAAAGGAATGAGAGAATGAAGAGATTCAGTCCGTTTCATTATGGTTGGGCCGTTATGGGTAGCGAAGCGGAAAAGTGTGACTGAATTGTGCGAATATGTATATAAATATATACAGTATATAATTATATAACTATAATTAGAGAAACATAAATTAAGGGGAAAAATTGCTTTTTATGTGGAGACATGAAAGGATTCACGGGAGAAAAGGAGACATGAGAGGACGAAGGGCGCATATGATCGCTCACACGACGGCTGGTGGTGGTGAGTCCGTTAAGTTTTTCCCCAATTTTGTAGCGTTTCCCTCCTCATCTTTGTGTGGAACCAACTCTTTCCATCATGGGAGTGGTAATGTAGGTGATTTTGTGTGAATATTGGACCAATTTATATACACGTATTTAAATTTATTTTCCAAATTGTATGGAAGTATGGAACATATACCTAATCTTCTCCATATGGGGTGTGTTTGGCATTCATCATTTAGCGGTAAACGGATAGCGGGTTATTTTAGTGGGTTGTCAATAGTGGATTTGGTCAACGAGTTTGACCAACGAAATAAATTGGTGGGTTGTCAAAAACGCTAGTGCCGAACCGCTATTTACCAAACAGTTGTTTCACTTTTAGAAAATGCTAAAAGTAGTTAAACTGTCATTTTTCGGCTAAAACGCCATTTACCAAACACCCCCATGATCAATTTAAAAAAATATACTTCCTCTATCTCATATTGAATGTCATGTTTTAGTTTAATGCAATTATTAATAGGGTGGTTTTTTTATAAAATCCATGTGGCGATTGAAAAGTAAAAAGTTGTAATTGAGATTCGAGTAAAATGAAATGATTTGAACCACATATTTTTTGTCAAAAAAGAAAAATGAACATTCATTTCGGGATAATCCAAAATGAAAAGTGAGACGGAGGGAGTAAAGAAATAGTTTAAATATAAACACATAATGAAGCAATAATTTAGACCAATTAAAAATATTGTGAGTAAGGTACTCTCACTTATTTGTGGGGTGTCATAACATAATAACATTCTCTTAGCATTTTCACAATTCTTATTTACCTTGAACATGTGAGGGCATATTGAAGAGCAGCGCAACCTAAACTTTTTGGACTTTTTAGTACAGAGTATTAAGTTTATCATTTCTCTCTTCTATACTCTCATTTGACATAATAACTCTTTTGGTCAACCCAGTTTCAATTCCTAGACCCGTCTAGAGCCGTCAAAATGGACCGAAACCCGCGGGCCGGCCCGTTTAAACCCATTTATTGGTGGGCTTGGGTTGAGAATTTCTGACCCATTTAGTTCGCGGGTTTCGCGGGTCAACCCACGCGGGTTGCGGGTTTAAGTGGGTTGGCCCATCGGGTTGCGGTTGGCCCGCGGGCCAAAATACAAAAATATAGTTTTGAATTACATTATCATAAATATTGTTCTTTTACTAACAATATTATTATAATTATAATTTAAAAATAACAACCATGGCAAAAAAATATTTATTTCTATAATAAATATTCAAATAAAGTGTTGAAACGTATTATTTTATGTGAAGTTCGATACAATATTTAACAATTAGTAGTCATTATTTACAAATAATTAATCAAACGGCTTATGTAGATCTTTATTTTTATACAATGAGTATTTTTGTCGCATACCCGCTTATAGATTTCAAATTCTCGTATAACTAGCATTTAATATTTGTTAATTAAACTTAACAAGTATTGAATTTTTAGTATTTTGATTTCTTATATTTCTTTTGTTACTACTTACTAATATAAATATATACTCCGGATAATTATTTTTAAAGATTTTTTTGTTGTATATTTTTTTTTTACATTGGCCCACGGGCCAACCCGTTTAACCCACGGGTTAGGTGGGTTGGGTTAGGGTTGTAGAAATTCCGGCCCGTCATTAAATGGGTTGGTCCGACCCAACCCACATAATGCATAACCCGTTACGGGTCGGGCCGGGTTGGGTTGGGTTGGCCCGTTTGACAGCTCTCGACCCATCCATACACATTGTTGTCATATTGGCACATTTGTATCGAGTGCCTTACTGATTCGTGCTATAATCTCAATCAGTTTTCCAAGTAGAATGTACGGAGTATTATTTTTACTCCCTACATTCACATTTAGTTATATTGTATGGACAAAAGGTTATACTGTATGGACAAAAAAATTATATACACGAAACCGTAGAAAATGTGAAAGAGTGGAGTTTAGAAGTTTGATGATGGCGCCCAAGTTAAATGGATGTAAAGTGATTTAGAAGAGAAATAAAAAACATGAAAACACAATTTTCTTTCTTAGAAGTGAATATGCCAACTTTCATTTGGACTGATAATTATGCGAATTAGATAAATTAACAAACTTTTGAGAGAGGAAGTGGGAATACACGAGTTATAGGGCCAGATTCAACCCATGGGCCATGGGTAAACTAGGTGGATAAGTTCTTGATATCAATAGGTCAAACCACATGCGTTAGAGCAACTCCAATGCAAGTGTGTGGTCTCTTACATACCCTTACACATGGGTCCCATTTTTTATATCACAATTTTTATGAGTAGGACCCACATTTTTCCTAATTTTTTTTCAATTTCGTTTTTTTATATCACTTTTAACCCACTTTTCATCAACTTTTCCTCCTCGAATCCCGTGTAAGGTCCATATATGGATCTTGTCATAGACCTTGATCCATTTTTACCTCTATCTTTCTCATCTTTTTCATTTTTCTCTACACACCACTTCATCCAAATATTTATTCTATCTCTATCTCTCTCCTATGCCACATCAGCTGCAATTAGGGTTGTAAACGAATCGAATCGAACCGAATACTTGACAATATTATTCGTATTCGTAAAATTATCAAATATTCGTATTCGTATTCATTTAAAATTCGAATCTTATGTTATATTCGTATTCGATTCGTTTTATATATTCGAATATATTCAAATCTTTTTCGAATCGAATTCGAATATTCGAATTCGAAAAACATTAAAGTTAAATTATGAAAACACTTAAAATTATGATGTATAGTTTGACCCTATTAACTCATTTTCATATTACATATATACGTAGTATTTCATACCAAGCAAAATATATTTATACAAGTCACTTCTTCAAATTCAACATCAATAAAAATAAATCAGCGGAGAATTTTAACTTTACATTAAGTTATTTTGCCCTGGTAAAGTAAGAACATTTAATTTAAAATAATTTTTGCAAAATATTTACAAAAATACTCCATATTATGTTATTAATATTTTTATATTGAATTATATTTATTTATAAATAGATTACTAATATTTTTATTACATATATATTCCTATATAATTCGAATATATTCGAATATTATTCGAATCGAATATCATAGTATTTGTATTTGTATTTGTATTCGTGAAGTATTCGAATAAAAAAACAGATTCGTATTCGTATTCGTATTCGTATTCTATTTACTCGAATTCGAATCGGCATTTTCGAATTCAAATCACGAATCGAATCAAAATTATTCGATTCGTTTACAACCCTAGCTGCAATGCACCTTCCCATTCCCATCGGAGATCTCGGACCCAATTGTTAAGGTACAAATCCATGCCCTCTTTTAATGAACCGCAAACAAATACTCGGTATAAAAGCATGAATCGATTTTGTTTGCTTCCTTGTAAATGATTATGACAATTGCGATCAATTATTCACGCACACACAGAAGGGGGAGTACGGAGTATATTATGATTATTCATCACGGGGCATGTCGTCTTGTTGAGGCAATAGCAATATAGCATCACAGTCTTCACAGAGGACACCACGTGAGAACAGCAATTTCAGAATAACCAATGAAGTCTAATGCCCATACACGAGGACTCTTTTGTTTTTACTATTACTCCAAAAGCAGTAATTCCACAATCCACATTCTTATATTTATTATCATTATTATTGCGCCATTGGGCTGGTGTTAGATCAAACAAGTTTTTTGGCATTTAATGGATTCTTGCTTTGCCAGAAAACATAAAACAAACATATTCCTTCAAAATAATAATGATCAAATAAAAGAATTCAAAGGTTTGCGCCCTAAACTCAGCCCCGATATCAAAACTTCATCTGTTGATAGAACCAGCAAATTTTCAAGCAGAATAACAACTAACAATAAAGCCACATGGTATTGGATTCTGAGCAAAGCTTGACTCAATCCCTTAAAAAAATCTGTGATTAAAAAAGAGTACTCATGATGAGCCAAGATTAAGAAGATTTTAATGACCACCTAACTTACTATGGAGCCGAGATACAGTTTTGACCAAATTAGTACCTCCTGGGGAAGCGAGGTTCCACATATCTTCCAGATGGGCAGACCACAGACAAATGCCCTCTTCCCCCACAGTTTTGACAGATCATTATGTCGACACAATCCCGGCTCATATGGCCTACCTGATCACAGTTTCGACAAACAATGTCCCGATACCCTCCGCCGCCGGCACTACCGCGAGTTGGTCCGCGGCCCCAGTCTTCGATTATGCCACCCTTTTTACACTCCCTGGCAACATGGCCAGATACATTGCAAAGGTTGCACACAGGATCATTCGGACAATCACGGGCCAGGTGACCGGTTTTCCTGCAGTTCTTGCAAGCCTTCTCGTTCGTGCAGTCGGCCGCAAAGTGACCTTGCTTGTAGCAGTTGTTGCATAGCCTCAAATCACCGGGTTGCATTGGTGGGGCAGTGCAATCTTTTGCACGATGCCCAGCTTTCCCGCATGTGTGGCAGATCCCTTCATTCGGACAGTTGCTAGCCATATGTCCTGGTTCTCGGCAGTTCCAACATAGTGAATTTGTTGAACATTCTGAAGATATATGCCTGTTGATATATGTCCGAGATTGATTCAATACATGAATTCATACTCCCTCCTCCGGGCCACCAAATAGCAAAAAATGGTCCAGTTTTAAAACCTCTTTTTCCCCAAAAAAGAAAAGGAATCATATTTAATCAAAACACTAATGGCATATTTGGTGGCTAAAATGCCGTAATCTGCTGAATTTTCTGATAGGAAAAGCATTTTGTATCCATTTCAGCCTATGTAAGTCAAAAGCTACTTATTCTGATTATTCTAGCTGCCAAATGAAGCCAATAGTTTGCCAAAATTGTATTCAAACTAGTTAATAAGAATACTTTTAATAGTTTTACCTTTTCACAATTTTAAAAGTTCCCCAGTAGTCTGCCAAAATCGTATTCAAACTAGTTAATAAGTATACTTTTAATAGTTTTACCTTTGCACAATTTTAAAAGTTGTACCTTGACCAAACAAGACTCTTTTTTATTAGGACAGAGGGAGAAATGAATCTAGCCGCAACATAT